TGTATATAGTTTCTTAATGCTTACTTGCACTTTGTAAAAATAAATTATACAGAGTGTTCAAAAAATTAGGAATATCAGTTACTAAAATAAGGTACATTTTTCAATTATTACTATAGCTAAAATAAGTTTTCTGACTATTTTTTTGTTTTATATAATACTGGATAATTTTTATAAGTAATACAGGGTATAACAGAACTACATACACAACTAATAATTACAAAGAAAAACATATTTAGCGAAAAAACTTGGTATAACTATAATGCTCTAATTATGATAATAAATAAAAATGCACCTTATTACTATTCCTAATTTTTTGAACGCTCTGTATGTTTTATTTTCCAAATTGCCAGAAGGCATTAACAAAATATATAGAAGTGTAAGAAGTACAAGAAAGTAGTAAGAAAAGTATTGCAAATTTTTCAGAATGATTCCTACTTTTGTAACGCTCCAAGATTAACGCAAATGATTGTAAATTGTCTGACCAATTTTGCATTGCGAAATTAATAGAAAAGTTAGCAAAAAAAGATTTGTATTTCGTGCAAAAATTATTTATTTATTTCATTTGCAGAGCGCTTTCGGCATAACGCCATCATTAGTTCTCGTCTACAAAGAACTATGGGTGTAAATATATAAGATATGTGAATATAAACTATAAATTTGAGACAAAATAATTAATTTTTAAAAAACTGATTTTTTTTAATAAACACTTAGATCGGCAGGATGAAAAAAGATTTCCAGAAGTCTTCCTTTTTCTCATAATAACGATTAAAAATATATTGATTTGAATGATTAAAGAATGTTGATGAGTGGTGAAATTTTCACGTTAATATTTTCCAATACTTTACAATAATATTAAAGTGAATATTTCCAATTGGGAAAATAAATTAAACACTAAATATTAATTTATGTGTATACGGTTTAATTTCCTTTTTAATCAAATGAATACAATAACTGAACTGAATATCTATACAATAACATTTGGCATGAAGCAAGTGTGTCCATGACATGATCTGAGTGAACTTTTTTTTAATTTAAGGTATTTTCAGCTCTTAATTGTTATTAAAGTAGCGGATTTGTGTCAACCAAAATATGTAACTTAAATTGACTATAATCTCGGATAATCTAATAATTTCGGAGCCTCCTACATGAAGGAGCCGTATGCAGATTATTTTCCGCGAGAATTCTTCTTTCAAATTTGAACAAAAAACAATTTGCATGCATTTACTATTTGTTCGAAATCATTCGTTTTCAATAAAAATTTTAATTTGCCTTATGACGCCTCTGCACTCTTAGATAATTGCAGACATGTTTACAAATTTTTACTGACCTGTCCTGGATTCCAGAAATGTATTTTTGGCAGCTCTAGTTAGGGTCTGGATAACGCATGACAGTTGTGTACAGGGTAAAAAGAGTTTTATTTGAATAAAAAAACGAATAGATTCCGAGTTTTTGTCAAAAACATTTACGCAGTTCTTTAAAATGTTGTTTATATGGCCAACCTGTATACCACGTGTTTCAAGAAAAATAAGATATAAACGATACGGTTGATAGAAAAATAAGTAGGTTCTGTTCAACGGCCAATAACTACTAGCATAGGCGCCGAATCCGCTAGGGCTCCGGATGCTCAAGTACCCAGAGCAGTTTTAAACTTGGTGCGGAGTACCCATAGCCCAACGTGGACAAAAAGTGCCAATAAGTGAAATGAAGATGTGGCTCAAGTTGGTAGAGCGACAAGATGCTTCGCATCAGTTATTGATTGGCTGCCAGATTTGTTAGCTGTGATGTTGCAGATTGCGATAATCCTAATGCTAATGCAAAATATTAAAGCTTTCTTCTTAAGACCCAACTCAACTTTTTTCTTAGGTTAGAAAACGATTCTTCATTCGAAGTAATGCAAGTAGTAATACAATTCGTAACATGATGAGTTTATTAAAAGGTATGTCCCAAATTAGCACAGTTGCGTTTTAGCTTTTAAATACTATAAAAAATGGTTGAAAGTCCGTAACTTTTAAATATTTGTTAAATATCACTTATTAAAATATTATGCATTAAAAGTAAAACAAACTTTCCACCATTTATTACCTACTCTGAACCCATTATTATTAATTATTATTATTATTATTATTAATATTATTATTATTATTAATAAAAACAATTTTTGAAAATATTATTGTTCAGTGCTGTATTTTTTGGGATAAAAAAGTCGCCGTCACTTGTCATTGACAACGCGTTGAACTTGGACTCAATAATTTATTATTCTTGGTGTATAGAACCCTATGAGGAACAATGAATGTGCTAATAGAACTGCCCAACTGTTAAACAATCAACAACAAAATCGACAAGTCTATCGAAAGTATATTTTGGAGTTGGTCCAAAAATTTTGGGAAACGGTTAACAAAAAACGTGAAATGGAAAATGTAGTAAAGAACCCACATTAAGTACAAGACAGTTGGCGATAACATCTGGTATTGAGAGAAGTAGCATTCAAAAGATCTTGAAAAAACACAAGTTTCATCCCTACAAAATACATCTGGTACAAGAACGTAACAATTTGATAGACGATATCAATTTTGTGAAATTATGACTGAACGGGCAATAAATGCATGCAACGCAACATCCAGAAAAACTGAATCTTTGGGCTGGCATTTTTGGTAACCCTATAACTGGGCCCCTTTTTTACCTGCAACTTTAACCGCAGAAATATATCTGGAATTATTAGAAAACGCCAGTTATCCAGCATTACGAGATTAGATTGAGAATGACGATCAGAACAACTTAAAATTGCAGCAAGACGGTGCGCCACCCCATTTTGCCACTGTTCGTCAGTATTTGAATCAAACGTTTTCAGGTGCCTCTTTATAGTTTTATTTCCGTTATATACCTATTAGGAAACTTAAGGTTGAAGAACATCTATTTTTTTTTAAATTACTTAAATTTAATAGTTGTTGATGTTTCTACTATTTGTGAGAGTATGACGCACCATGATCATATTTTTTATTTTCAACAGTATCTAATCAAAAGATAAATGACCATTTAAATGTTCAAACAATATTCTCCGCAATTATTAAATTTAATGGTTGGAGGTCTTTGGAATTTTTGACATTTAGAATTTTTTACGCACATAATGAAACACTAACTTATTTTGTTGTTTGACGTTTTAAGTTGTTGAAAGTGTGACGGTATCTTTGTGACAGTTTCTAACGTATTTTTTTTTATTCGTTATTGAAAATGGGCAGGGGTAAAGCAACTCCAAAAAAAATTAGGGATTTGATCATAAACATAAATTTCCTAATAAATATCTGAAATAAAATTATGAAAAGGCCGAACATATAGTGGTTAGGCCTCGTATAATTAGGAAAATCCTTATTTGTTTTAGATTTAAACTGTAAAAGATAATTATTATATCACGTAGGTATTAGAGAAAGGTAAGTTTCTTTAATACTAAGATCAAAATCAAGTGGTTATAAAATACAGGGTGTCCCACTATAAAGTAACACATTTTAACAGCTTATTAATCAAGAATGGAAAAAGATATCGACATGTAGTTGTCACCAAACTTCTTAAATTTGCGTCAAGTTTTTGTTGACATAGTTGTCAAATGTATATTTTTTCCCGAAATTGCCGAAAAAATAATCATTGTCGATTATTAAATTTGAGTGTATTCGTTCTTGATCTACTTCACATAAATTATTTGACGTTTCTTATTTTTTGAAAGCCATCACGATAAAACGCTATCTAATATGTCACGATACAGTTAATTATAAAATCATGTTTTATTTATAAGAATCAGAAAATACACCCATACAAAGTTATACAAAATTAATAACCTTTGACATCAAATTCCAACAATCTTATTACATGTTTTTGATGTAAATTCATAAAACAATATCTCTCCCAAACCTTTAATAAATAATCACAATGTAAACATTTTTGAAAAAGGGAACAAAGGGACTTTCAGATGATATGAAAAAATATAGGGTGTTCTATTTAAAGTAACTAATAATTTTGCTTAAAAAAAAGGCAAATTTTTTTCAGGCAGTTTTGAGAAAAAATATACATTTGGCAACAATGTCAACAAAAACTTGAAGCAAAAGTAAAAAGTTTGACGCATGTCGATATCTTTTTCCATTCTCGAGTTATAAGTTGTTAAAATTTATTATGTTTGTCCTACCTGTCAACAAAGCTACTCATCCTTTTTGTACTCTATGAAATTCGACAAGAGGTTTATTTCCAACTGCTTCCCCCACCGTAAATGTATGTTTAATATTAAAAATTAAATTTGAACAAGGTATAATAGAATCACACGTGAAACAAACAAATCCTGCTAAGCAGCTCCTATTCTATGGTCTGGAAAACAGTGTCTACGAAAAACCAAAACGTTTTCTATTTCTTGCCTAGCTTAGTGTTTTCAGCTATTTATGTCGATCTGTAATTTTAAAATTATGGAAACGTAGTCATTTTTATAATTTTTATTCTAAAACAAAAATAGAGGATCTTAGAACATAATGTTTATTAAGGATACCTCACCTATTTTTCAGTTTCCTATCAGCCTTATCATTTATGCCATGTTTCTTTTTTGAAACAAATTTTATAGCTTCCAAATAATCAAATGGTTATTGTCAATCGTAAATAATTGTAAAAAAAATATGAATCAATTTTTTTAGTCTAGTAATTCTAGTAATACATAGCGTTAGTACCATAGACATGTAATGAATTTTTCGTTCTAAACACATGTCAAACTTTAACAATTTAATTTGTCAACCGCTTACGCGAAATATCGTCTTAAAATATCGTTCTAGTTTTATTTGGATTACATTTCACCTTGATAATTAAGTTACATGAATCTAAACATCTATACATATAGAACTAAATGCAGTATTTTATCATTCCACAACAGGAAAATAACAAACATTTAAAGCTCATGCAACGGTCAAATCATTCTCGATAGTGTAAATTGGACGGGATTCTAAGTAATGACATTCTCTCATGTGGAAACATACCTTGTTGAGAGCATCGAGTATCTTGTCTGGCATGTGATCTTGAATCATGACAGGCGATATTAAAACTTCGTCGAAATCGGTGTTTTGTGCCCAAAGGGCCTGGTAAACGGGTTCCTTTTTGTGAAGGGCTTGTCTAAAATCATAGGTTAAAATTTAAATGAGTTATTCTAGACTCGATTCGTTACTTGAGATATATTATTGCGGTTCCCTCACATAAAAGAGATAAATGTAGCCGCGAAATTATCGAATTCGTTCGAGGTGTACCTTTCAAGTATCGAGTCGACTCTACCAGATTAACTTTTATTTGTAAATTAATGCATTTTCATTCGATTCACAATTTTATATACAGAATGATTAACTTATACTCCTGTGTTTGATATCTTCGTTGTTTTGAGGAATACGAACAAAAGTTTTAAATACAAATTATAGATAAAGTCCAGCTCCACATTTTAAAATTATTTCGTAATATACAGGGTGTTTCATAAAGTCACAGCATACCAAAGTTGTTTTTTAGTGTTCGTTTTTCCTATTCCGGCAATATAGAGTTTTATCAGGTTCTACAGGGCACTTTTAAAGAAATGGCCACTTTTATGTGAAAATCCTAATGAAATCGTCACCCTGTATTAGTTAGAATCAACAATTGAGGGTTAATATTTCAAGCAAAATAATTTCGTGGTAGTCCAGTTTTGTTGCAACTCATCATGTTTTTGATCTTTCATTTTGCATACAGGGTAACCCAAAACTCACGACCATGATTTTCTAGGTTATTTCAAATGGAACAGCCTGTATATTATATCATTTTCATAAACTACTTACTGTACTTTTGTTAAGCATTCCTTATACCTAAATGTTACAATTGTAAAGTTTTTCAATTTTAAATAATAAAACGATATTATTGGTAAATACTGAAAGTTTCGTAGAGTTAGCAATTGACAGCTTTAAAAACACGTTAATTATAAATAATCTAAAAATAAAAAATAAAACTACAGATTTTTTAACAAGACTATCATTAATACTAACAGCTATTAACTAAACAAAAAATTCGAAATAGTACTTAGAACAAAATACAATAACTGCTCAAAATGATCTTCCATTACATTTAAACAGAGTTGTATCCGATATTCAAATGACCTCCCCACATTTCTAGCCATTGGAATACTAATGTTTTGGAAAACAACCCTAATTCTATTTTTCATGTACTCTCTTGTAGTTGCATGTATTTTATACACCTCATTTTTCACATACCCCCACAGAAAAAATCAACATTTGTTAGATCTGGCGATCTAGCTGGCCACTCAATTGGCCCTTCCCTACCTATCCATCGTTCTGAAAATTACTGCATTATGATGTATTGAAGCCATATCATGTAGATACCACATTTGCTGACGTATACGAAGAGGAACATTTTTAAAAAGTATAGGCAACTGATTCTCCTAAAAATCTAAATAAACTTCACTGTTTACAGTGTCCTCAAAAAAATATGGTCCAATTACATAATCACCAACAATACCACCCCAAACATTTTGTTTGAGAAGTAGTAACTATCGCATAAGGATTTTCTTTGATACATCGCATTTTCGAATCCTAACAGTTTGCCTAAACTTTGACACAATCAAATCGGATGACAAATTTAGATGTAATTTCACATTTTAGGGTATTGTTATTTGCTACCAAATTAAACAAATCGTCCAATTCTTCTTGTTTTTCTGCCTTGATTTCGGGAGATACGATTTTTCACAAATTTCACAAATGAATGTACTTATTTATTTCATCAATCTCGTAAGCGACAGGCGGAATTAATATTTCTTTTAATACTACCCTGATCCCATCAAAAGGAGCGACTTCTAGGCGAATAACATTTTTCTGATTAATATTTCTGATAGAATGATAGGAATAAAATCCTATTAATCTAACTATTTGTTAACATCCGATTCGATAGGCGGATAAAAATCAGCACTGAGAACGTTGGACCCAGTAGATGTCAATTGAAATGTTGATATGTCTAGGCAATAAGTCACACTGGCACCAAAATCGATTATCGATTACATAAATTATAAATTCGCTTTTTAGTTGCAATTTTCAGCTATCAAATTTTATAAAAACAACAAATTATGTGTTTCGGTGTTGGATCATCGTTTACACCAATCGACCCACGTTTCAAAAATACGGTTGGACTATCATTTACGTCATTAGATTCATTTTCAAAAAAATGTACTTCTTCAGCGCAGGAATTCATTTTTCAGGTAGAAGGAATTGCAGACAGAAATGCCCACACTAAATAACTTCTGGTAGCGTTTATAATTAAAATGAGCTTCATGTATTGGCGAACGTCCTCTAAATATATAAATAATTAAATCTGTAGGTGGGGGTAAGTCACCATAACTAATTTTTTTTTACTATCGAAATAGATTAATACTTTATCTCTTTTCTTGTAAGCGACCCAATGTGTTCCCGGTCCATTTTTAGTGGTCCAGAATATGGTAAATCATCTCTCATATACAGACCTCGAAAGTATGGGATCTTGAACCTATTAGCATAAAATTGTATGTCCAAATTGCTTAGAGGTTTCCGAGGTAGTATATTCACTAGGTTTTGACCGATATGGTTTCAAATAAAGGCCCAACCCCTTTTCTATAGGGCTTTAAATATAAACCTTTACCATTTCTCCAAGATATATGGCCTCCATGGTTTTATTATGCCAGTTAGCTTCTTCTAACTGCTCCCTATTTATTTTAGTCATATTTACTGCTTTGGAAATACCAGACGCTGTCCCAGCTAAAGTTCCCAGCGCAGATAATCCAGCAAAAATAGGAATTAGTGATAAAAATCCACCTGTTTTCGGTATTGGTATAATACAAGGAATATTAATTTATCTTTTACCCCCAGCTGCTTTGAAAGATGTAGCAATCTTGTTCAGCTCAAAACAAGAATCGATATCACACCCACCGTAAAGAGAAAAGTGGTGGTAGAAGCACCGAACTCAACTAAATACGATGAGAATTTTGAAAGCCCGCTCTCTGAGGATGATGATGGAATTTATTATATCGATATAATAAACCATCTTTATGGAATGTCGACTCATCTCCGAAAAGTACATAATCAAAAAAATCTCTTTGATCATGAATTTTTTTTTGTGCCTAATTACAAAAGTTTGTTCTTCGTCGAAAATCATCATCCATAATTCCTGGTGTAACCGAATATATGGGTGCATATTTTTGAGAATATTTTTTGCACACTTCCATAGCTTTTTTCTTGTTCCGTGGAAATTACTCGTATACTTGTATTTGGATTTACCGTAACTGCTAAAATATATTGAGTTCATTTTCCTCAGTAATAATGGTTTTCGTTTTTTCCTTTCTTTCATACGCTGCATTACCTGTACGATTAAATCGATCCATGACTTTGTCGAAATGTTCTTTTTCAGGTAATCGGCGCTCTGGGAATCTTTCATGATACATCCTTACTGCTAGCAAGATATTTTTATGACATTCTCCTAGTACCTATCCAGATCATATCGACTAATTCCTCATTGCAAAAAATCATTATTCGCCAATTCCACTTGTATACACAAACAACAAGAAGAACCGAATCAAAACTCAAATATTAATTGTCAATTAGTTGACAAACATAACATTACTTTAATACCTTCTGTCAAATACGGCAGTCATGGCCAACTATAAGAAACTTTCAGTATTTGCCAAAAATATGGTTTTATTATTAAAAATCGAAAAAACTCTACGACTGTAACATTTAGGTATGGGGAATGCTTAACAAAAGTAAAAGTATTTTGTAAGTAGTTCATGAAAGTAATATAATTTGAAATAACCGAGAAAATCATGGTCGTGAGTTTTGGGTTACCCTGTATACAAAATGAAAGATATCAAAAACATGATGTGATGCAACAAAACTAGACTACTACGAAATTATTCTGGCTTTGAGACATTAACCCTCAATTGTTGATTCTAAATAATACAGGGTGACGATTTCATTAAGATTTTCACATAAAAGTGGCTATTTCTTTAAAAGTACCCTGTAGAACCTGATAAAACCCTATATTTCCAGAACGAGGAAAATGAACAAAATTCAAATTCGAGATAATATATAGGGTGTTGCACTAAAAAAACATAACTTTGATATACTGTGACTTTATGAAACACCTTGTTTATTACGAAAAAAATTTAAAATTCACTCTATCTATAATTTGTATTTAAAACTTTTGTTCGTATCTTTCAAACTCCGGAGTACAAGTTGATCACCCTGTATTTTTAATTTTCCCAATATATTCTATTTCAACATATAAAAAGTGTCCCATAAAAAAATAATTTTACATTTTTTATTTTATCTATTACACGAAAAAGACATGAGGTAGGAACGTGCGGGCGGTATCGAACGACAGCTCGGTTTCTGGAAATTTAGTCGCTATGGAGCGTTTCACGCGCGTATTACATAAATAATGATTCTGCGACTCGAATATTTGTAACCACTATCATTTACATGGCGTAAATGAAGCTCCGAGTACTGATTAAGAATGGGGTGCATTAATTTAACTAAACTGGTTCCATTTTGATTAAATTACAGACGACCCAATTCTTAATCAGTTAAGCACTCGGAGCTTCATTTATGACATATAGATGATAGTGCGCTAAAGTCACATAATCATTATGTTTATAATACTCGTGTACGCATAATGTGCTCTTTGTTTCAGTGAATCGTCATTTTTCACCAGTAGCAATATAAACTTGTGATGATTGCGACAGATCATGTTTTAACAGATGATTACACACTAAACACTAGTGTTAAGTTTTTATCTTACTCAATCTGAAAACTAATGCAACAAATATGCACCTAAATATGATACCCATCTACTACTTTACGGGACGTCACAACTATAGACACAAAAGTTCAAAAAATTAGGATTACTTTTAGGGGTGCATTTTCATTCATGCAATTTTGAATATTTGGTTATCGTTCAGGGTTGCCGACTTTTTTATGTAGCATTTAATGACTGAGTACAAACTAAGGCCACGTACAAATCAATAATATGTAGAATTGATATTAGCAGGATGTACAGGGTATTCAAGACCTTTTCACTAATAATTATGTAGTAAATAAAGTGAAAATAAGGCTATTTAT